TTCCCCGGCTTCCCTCAGCAGCAGCAGAACATGGGTCCGTCTCCTTTCATGCGGCAGAACTCCACACCATTCCACACCGTCCCATCCCAACCTCATATCCAGCACTTCTTGAATGGCCCACAAGCTCTTCCCGGCGATGCATTCCCGACCAGTGCGCCTAATTGGTATCCTAAACCTAACGCGATACCACAATTCCCCCAAACCACCACTATGTCTCAATATCAGCACCATAATCAGCCTCCTATGGCCCCTGGCGTTCTGAACCCGAGCCATATGCCCGCACCGTTTCAACGGACAGGAGACCCTGAGTTTTCTGAATCCGCTCAGTTATCTCAAACCCGGGGCCCAGTCGTCCCACCGGCGAGCAAATTGCCTCCACCGAAGCTCACAAGCCATTCCCTGGCGCTCTTGGAAGCCTTCAAGGTTAAGACCCCCAAGGGCCCGGGTCCAGCGAATTTGGCGGCTCCCATGCAGGGCTCTTCTCACACACGTAAGACGTCTCAGCACCAGGATAGTCTTTTGGGTTTGCTCAAGGGTGCGCAAACTGCTCGTGTTTCTGAACCAGCGGAATTGTTAGGCAATCCCGTTGTACCCTCTGCGGCACCTTCAGAGAAGCAGATTCTTCAGCGTCCTCGCGATCACCAACCCACGCACCAGATTGCCGCAACGAGAAGCCTTCCGGGAGCAGGTCAGATATCGGCTACCGTGTCTGGACCGTTGAACGTGCCACAATTTGAGACATATGGCCAACCACCTAAGTCAAACACTGGAACAAACCGAAAGAACCACGTGAACCGGCGAGAGCAACCCCAGCTCCAGCAGCTATCCTCACCGATTACCATTCTATCGCGACCCCATTCTGCCAAACGGGAGGTATCCTCGTCGAGACCCGTTGCACAAGCAACCCAGGTTCTGCCTGCGAAAATACCCGAGGCGCCTGAACCTATCAGGAATTTCCAGCCGCAGATTCTGCGTCGGTCAGAAAAACCCGGATATGAAGCATTAATGGCCACAGCTCCTCAGACAGAAGCTATTGAACGCAAATTGAGTTTGCCAGGCGTTGGGATCGATACCCAGGGCCTAGCCGCACAGAGCAACTTTGACCGTCGACCGAGTCAAACTGCTGAGCAGAAAGCTTCACTTTTGTCTCTCTTTAGTAAAGCGCCTGTCTCTCCGTCGCCTGTTTCTACGACCGCGTTCGACTCCCGAGCTGTCAACCAGCAGCCGGCAGCATTCTCGGGTTTTGTCAGCCCAATTTCGTCCCGCAATCGTCCGAGCAGCGGTGATTCTATTTCTCGGCATGGTACGCCATCTGATGCTGGCGCACACACCAATAGTCAGCAGGTTTCTTCTCCGAGCAACAAGGCGTTCTTGCTTGGGTTCTTGGAGGGAGTGGCTAAGGGCAATAAGTAGCTCCGTGGTCGGCCGGTTACAAGCTTACCTAGGTGGCTTTGCAGTAGCCCCTAGATAGGCACATGTGACATACATAGAAATAGTGTAGTATTGGAATTAATTAGTTTTTTACACCTTCAGAATAATTGTAGCTTCTAGACTTTGGAATTATTCAGGGCGGAAGGAGTAATAACCTTTCTTACTGCCACGGTTCACCGCCCAACGTCATCGAGCTTTGTAAAGAAATAGATTAACTCACATTGGCTCCGCTACACCAACTCAGCCATGATGCGCCCGCGCCCCTCGGTCTGTGGCCGCTGCCTGGTCCGCCTCAGGCTATTCTCTACCACAGCACAGCGTACCGAACAGAGTCAAAATGCGCCCCTCCCGCCGACAGCAGGGTACAGCCGACTCACAAACCGCGGACTGATCTCCATCACCGGCATCGACAGCACAACCTTCCTCCAGGGTCTGATGACCCAGAATATGCTAGTCCCCAACGATCCGAAACGAAATATTCGACGCACAGGCGCATACACCGCATTCCTCAATTCGCAAGGCCGAGTTCTGAACGATGCCTTCATTTACCCGCTCCCCGGCGCAGAGGCCCAGGGTGCCGAGTCAGGCTGGCTAGTGGAGGTAGACAAAAACCAGGTCCCCGTCCTGCTGAAGCACCTCAAGAAACACAAGCTGCGCGCGAAGCTCAAGCTCCGCGCTCTAGAGGAAGGCGAGCGCACAATATGGTCCTCCTGGAAGAACCACGCCGAGCCGCAACGGTGGGCTTCATACAGTCTAGAGTCAGAATCGCCGTCACCATTCTCACCTACCTCCGAAATTGCCGGTTGCATTGACACGCGTGCTCCGGGCTTCGGATCCCGCATTATTACGCCTGGCTCGGACAGTCTGCGCACTCACTTCCCGGATGAGGCTCAGGTCGTCGGGTCCGAGGTGTCGCTGGACTCATACACCGTCCGTCGCTTTCTACACGGCGTTGCGGAGGGCCAGGCGGAGGTTATTAGTGGATCGGCTTTGCCTTTGCAGTGCAATATGGATATGGCTGGCGGTATTGATTTCCGCAAGGGCTGTTATGTCGGCCAGGAATTGACGATTCGCACCCACCACCGTGGCGTTACGCGGAAGCGTCTTTTGCCAGTTCAGCTTTATGATTTGGGTCAGGATGGGCAAAGTGCCCCGGATACTCTCACATATGATCCATCTTTCCAATTGGCTTTACCTTCTGGTGAAGCAGATATTATTAAGGCTGGTGCCACTACCCGCCGAGGCCGCAGTGCGGGAACGTTCCTTCATGGCGTTGGCAATATTGGACTTGCGCTGTGCCGTCTTGAAGTTATGACCGATGTTGCGCTCATGGGTGAGGCTCCTGCTCGTCCTCATGAACACCACTTCAAGCTATCCTGGGCTCCGGAAGTCGAACAGCCTAATGAGGTCGGAGTACGAGCTTTCGTTCCGCCTTGGCTTAGAGAGTTCATCTCGGGTGGCAAAGAGGAGAAACCCGCTCCCCGTGATCGTGAAGCAGAAGAGGAGCAATTAGAGGAAGAGGAAGAGGAAGCCGAATCGCACCGAGACTGAGGTTTCTAAGTGTATACCCACTACACATGTATAATATAACACAGCACAAAATGTCACATGTAAATAGCTTTTGTATCTCTATTCAACTCAACGTTGCAAATACAACGTGCTCTGGGGTATCTTTTGAATCTAAATACAATGGTAGAATTAGGATCAACCTTTTCAAATATGCAGAAATGAAGCTAGCCTCCATGGGAGAGCTAGGTGCCCTTCGCTGCCGCTGCTGCCGCTGCGTCTGCGGCCTCGTCTTCTCGTAGCATCTCTTCTTCGAGGGCTTTGCGCTCCTTCTCACGCTGTGCACTCTTCAGCCGCATCATCATCACCTCCTGCAGACTTGGCGCGGCTGGAGCCTGAGTGGATGGGTTGAATGACGTTGCACTCGGGGCAGCTGCCGCAGCAGCTGCAGAAGCGAATGAACCAAACGAGGGCGCTTTGTCAGGTGGGGGAGCTGTTTTCAAGCCCTGGAAGTTGAATGATGATTTAGTAGGCTTGCTGGAAGTGTCGACAGAGGGCCCTGGTGGTGGAGGTGCAGGCACAGCTTGGTCGGGCTTGGGTGATATACCAGGACCTAGATCAGGTTGGTTGCCGGAGGCCCAGAAGACAGACTCGATAAGGCCCCATTCGCCATCTTGACCAGCATGTTGACGAAGCTTTTTCTCGCTATCGAGAACGGCGGTATGGGCGCTCACAATAGACGTGAAAACCACCACGCCCGTTGCAACAGTCTTCTTCTCCTTGTTGTCTCCAATCCGTTGGCGTTTATCTTTAAGCGCAAGGGTATTCTCGATCGTTCCGAACGGCTTGAACAGCACCGCAAGCTGTTCAATATCAAGCTCCAACCCACGACCCTCCCGCACCCAGCGCACTTTCACCGCACGCTCGAGCTCAGGGACTTGCGCGCCACCACCCTCCTTCGAGCGATCCACGCGCTGGCTACTCCGATCCGCCGCTTTGCGAGCCTCCTCTTCCTGCTGTTGAATCTTCTTCCGTTCATCCTCAAGCTCCTTCTTAGCCTTCTCCTCAGCCTCGCGTCGCCTCCGCCGCCCATCCTCCGCAATCCTGTCAATCTCCCGCTGCAGCTTCTCTTCCGCATCCTCGTCCCCGTCCGTCCCCCATGATCTCTTGACACCTTGCTTGACACCGGCGCTGCCTATTTCGGCGGCGCCTGCCCTCTCCCGCGCTTCTAGGTCTTCGCGCATCTTTCGTTTCGCCGCTCCCATCATGTCCCGCTCGCGCTGTTTACGCACCCGCGCTTCCCGCGCATTGTCGTAGAGCTGCCGCACTGATGTGTCGGAGAGGACATCGTAGGCAATCTGGAGAAAATGGAATTTGTCGATGTCTGCTGCGGTGGGGTTTTTGATTTTGTCCGGGTGGTACTTTAGTGCGGTGCGGCGATATGCGCGGCGGATTTCGGTTTCAGTGGCTGCTGGTTGGATGTCTAGCAGGGCGTAGAAATCTTGGTTCGAGGCGGCGTGCGCCTTGAGATCGTCGTTTGGCATCTTGGTGGTTTATGCGACTGGTGTCGCCTTGGAAGTTTGCGGAGATGAAGTGGAGAGTTTGATGTGGCGGTTTTCGGCAATGTGGTTGCTCTATCAGGGCGTAAGGTTATAAAGAGCACAGTGATAGTCCCGAGAGGAAATTAACCCTAGATTAGAGCTCTTGAACCGAGGTTGTTGTTGAGATTGAAACTTGTAGGTTCGAGTTCAGAGCTTGGGCGGTGGATGCGTTTCGCCTCAGGCCGCCAACCAGTATACTATGAGATCCTAATTGCGAAATAATCAGCAAATATGTTATTTAAGCTGCTGGATTGAAACAAAACATTCAGAATTCGGAATTTCGTCAGGCTTTGGCCTTAAATTTTTCAAAAATTGAGTCTGGTTGTTATTACGACTAAAATTGTACGATCGAGGTAGAGATATATAATGCCTGGGCACGTGTGCATCTTGAGTTTCTACTCTCAACCTGTAGGTGGTAGCTCTTTTACCACGAGCCATGATCTATTCGAGCCAATTGACAAGATGACAACCATATCAACATCTAAACTTAGTGTTACACCTCCAACTCAGCTTCAATTAGCCCTGGCATTGGCTGTTGTCAAGGGAAAACCACCAGGGCAAAGCGTGAAAGGTTAGGCGAAGATCCAACCTTTACAGACTCAGACCATTCGATTATTGACTATACATTTTAGAATACATTTTGCAGATTCGGCACTTCATTAAAAAGACCAAGGACTTGGGCCAAATTGTTGCAACAGACAAGTTCTTCGATAGCGTCTCTTTCTGGCAACAGGCATACGAACGGTCCGAGGCAGGACAGAGCAAGCTACAAGATCAAGTCCATGAGCTTAACCAGCGTATTGAAGGCCTTCTTGTCAAACTGCGTGTCAATGGCACTGCAAATGACAATGAGAGCTTGCCGGCAAACAAACGCAAGGCGTCTGCTGTTGGCAAGAATACGAATAGTTCAAACATGGCCAAGAAACGCATAAAGCTACCAAAAAATATGCAGAAAAGCATACCATTGATGGATGATGATGATTCAGGAGAAGAGGATGGTATTTGATTCCCCTTTCATCGACCGACTATGATGATAACTAATGTCATTACAGTCTTATGTCTCAATAGGCATCTGCATACCGTTCAAAAAGCCCTGCAAAGAAGGACAACTAGCAGCTCTGAGGCTAATTCTCTGGCCGTGAAGGCAGTCATCCTCTGCAAATCCGCAGAGCAAAAACTGATCCAAACTATCCAGAGGGAGAGCAGTATGACAGAGCAGAAACCTTCTCAGACAGGGCAAGCCAACATGCCGGATACACATGATGTTATGAATGGTGTGACAGTTGCTTTCCATCTCACACACAAAGCATTGCACAAGATTGGCGGAGCCAAGAATAGAATGCAGCACCAAGGCCAAGTCATTTACTACTTAGTAGGTCTGTTCGAATCAACCATGACAGCACTCACTTTGCATTGTACTTCAATATCCAAGCAAAAGCCAGTCACCAAAAACACAAAATCGAGTGGAGACCCAAAGCCTACCACGCAACCCGAAGAACAAAGCAAACGTCCAAAAGCGAACAGCTTAGCTACCAAGAATGAAATAACCTTTCGCCTTGCAGACCTGCTCTGCACGATGGCCCTCTCCCTCAATCTCACGCGCACCGAAGACCAGGAAGTAATGGAAGGGTTTCTCTTCCTTGTCATTGATCGAATGGGCAAAATGCTAGCTCTTCACGTGTTCCATGACCTGCGATTGCCAATGGGCATCTGCCCCGGGATGACGTTCCCAAACGGACTGGAGGCAATGACTGACGAGTGTCTTGGGCCGAACGAGGCACAACTGGAAGCCAAGTATCTGATTCGGCTTCTGGATAGAATGCTTAATGCCGAGTCCCGTCAATCACCCCTCGAGGCATCTGCTGCTCGGCAATTTGTCACAATAGCCAAAGATCGTCTGCAAAAGTCTCTCCTCCGGGCTGTATTCGGACCTGATGATCATCTGTTTCGGGAGGGCCTGCGGCGTCCGCATACTCCGCCTCCTCAGGTACTTGAGAATAAACAGATGGATCAGAGAGAGTTTTCGGATTGGCTTACACAGGAGCTGTGGCGGCTTGTTGGTTGGGATGTGTTGAGGACCGTGGTTGCTCCAACCTAAAGCCTGAGATCATGACTACATTTGTCTTATGTTTGTTCACTGTGCTCCTTTATACCTCATTGCTATTGGTATTATATCTACAGACCGTATAGCGATATTTATGCTAGATAGTATATGTGCTTATTCAAGTTTCAAAACACGAACCGCATTGCCACCCAAAACAGCAGCCACAGCCTCTTTTTCCCCCTCGAAAGTCGCATCAATAGCTTTATAATTTGTTGTCACACTGATCCATTCCTTCTCGCCCTCATTTAGAGGCGGGAAGAACGGATGATCGGTACCTATGTTATATTAGCTTGAGTCCACCTACCAAAAATATATATGAGAACATACCAAACATAAGACGATCAGTACCTCCCCCGGCAGCAACAGCAGCCTTGAGCCCAGCAGTCCCATAGACGACAGCATCAAGGAAGATATTTGTCTTCAAGACCTCCCAAATACTCCTTTGCGGACCAGGGACATCGCCACCATTCTCCACAAACTTCCGTTCATGCATAATACAGCTCTCGATGCGCCCCGCCAAAAACGGCAACGTACCACCCGAATGCGCCAGCAGGATTTGCAGCCGCGGGAATTTGTCAAAGACACGGGACAGCAGCATGCGGGTAACCGCAATGGTGGTCTCAAGCGGGAATCCCAGCGCCAGGGGGAGGACATGGCCGTAGCGCTTTGTTACCTCGGGACCACCAAAGGCCTCATCAGGGAGACCGTAATGAGGATGCAAGAAGAGAAGGAACTGCGTTTCCTCCAGAGCAGCCCAAACCGGACCCAGCGCTTCATCATCGAGACCATTTCCCAGCCCGGAGGTCCCCATAATCACGCCGCGTATGTGAGGCAGGGTCTTAAGTCTCTTGATTTCGTTAACGATGATATCCGCACTGGGTGCGCTCAGCGGCAAAGTCGCAAATGCAAACAAAGTTGACCTCCCCTGCAGAGGGAGGGTGTTGTCCGGGTCAGTGGACTTATTGTTCTGGGCACAGGTTTCCTCTAGATCGTTGTTGATGCGCTCGGCCCATTGTTGGGCTTCGGCGGGATCGAGGAAGTCTAGCCAGGGATTTGCGAGAGAGATCACGCTGCAGTCAATGCCATGTTGTTGCATGAAGGTTAGCTTGACATTGATGTCGGAGTAGGATGTGTCGACGGGACGGCCGCGCTCGTCGATTGGAATGGATGGGTCATCGTCTGATGACAGAATTATCAGGCGCGGTTCTCCGCTCGCTGGGTCGTGGATGTAGGGGACTGTCTTGCGAGCGCGTAGCATCGCCATGTACGATGGAGGGTACACATGGGTGTGGACATCGACTACTAGAGGGCGCGACATATTTGGGAATACAGATAGAATCGAGAAAAGAGAAGAAGAAGAGAGAGGCAGGGGTATCCAAGTTCGGATATCCAAGTGAGGGGAGGAATAGATAAGAGCTGTTGAGCGGGGACGCCCCTCTGAAGCGCGGAGATGTTACAATCCCTTTATCTCCGATAAGTCTGGTCTGTGGTCTTTTGATGTTACGTACAGAAGAGGAATGCAATTTGAATGTGCTATCGCTTGATAGAGGAGATATACAGCTTATCATTAAAAATGCCAAGGCCTTCAAGACTCGGTTATAATCCATTCCCATTTCATTCATTGGCAACTATCAATTTCAGCGCTGAAGCAATCATCAACATGCAATTTGACATACACTCATGAACACTAGAGCTCGGAACCAGCCAGAGTGATAGGCTTCACGTTGGTGAAGTTGGGCACATCGGCAAACACCCCCGCACTGGCAGGGTTCTGCAGAGCAGCTTTCACGGACTCCTCGCTCTCCCACTGGAGAGTGGTGATCACCAGATACTGAGGTCGCGAACCATCAAGCGCGGTGGTGAACTTGGTGACATGCCAGCTGATCAGGCCGTGGCTCTTCCAGATGTTTTCGATGAGTGGCACGTGGGTTTTCATGTAGTAGGTCTCGTCAAAGTGGACGTCGACTTCGTTCGGGTACATAACAAGGACAGTGTGTGTCATTTTGGCGAGAGAGGTATTTGAATGAAAAAGGGAGAGATAGTGTATATTGGAAATGGAGGTGATGAAGGAAGCCTTGGGGTTTTAGCTACTACCGAGGTCCGTACTGGAGTGATTCCCAATCAGCTTATTAATGTGCAAGTGGACATTTGGAACCTTCGAGGTGGAGGGCCGAGGCCTTGGTGATATGCAGAGTACGGAGGACAAGCAGATCCAAGACATAAAGCATGAGCATGTTCAACGCATAATTACCTCATGCTCATTTTATTCGTCTTGGAACCAATAAAAAGGGTTAATCCTCCGTAGTTATACATCGGCACCAAGGATTAGTAAGGTTGACTAGCCCCGCCTAACCTTGGAACCTTGGCGGGGTCAAACCTTCATTTGGAGTAAGTAATGATGCCTTGGTGCCTGCGTTTGGCCTGGATGCCTGAATGAAGACCGGCAGAGTAACAAATGAAGAGCGGTAACTAGTTAGTTAGTTATAGGAAGCGGCCAGGAACCAGGTCCAAATCAGGCATCAAGGCATCGGCCCATCATTTATCCCAACCTTCACAATGGCTCGAATTATCAGACTTCGAGCTGTGAGATGGGCCGTGATTGTGCTCGCCCTGGGAATTTTTTACAAAGCCTATTTGCACAACATTATCTTTCTCACAATCGGCATCGGCCGAGAGATCCAACCAATTGAAGAATTCCCATGGACCTGCACTCGCCTCCAGCACCCTCTCTTAGAAGGATGTGAGGATATGTGGCTAGATGATCAAGGAAGGAAACTGTACGCAGCATGCGGAAATATACAGTCCAGACAGGGATGGAGTCCGGGTGGCAGAAAATACAACATCTCCGCAAGATCTCGCACGGATCATATCGCAGTGTTGAATATTGACCAACCCGGCCCGGACGGGCTGTATGGCCTCCATCAGCTGAAAATCAGTGGCTACCTCGGCAATCTGGATCTACATGGATTTGACGTGCGCAGTGTTGACGGCAGACTTCGATTCTGGTTGATCAATCATAGACCCCCAATCGAACCTACAACAGGGAAGTTCCTTGATGCTTGGGCCGTTGGAGCGAATTCCACAATTGACATATTCGATTTGAACGATGCCTCAGAGACACTTGAGTATGTCAAGACTATAGCCAGTGACGCGATCATCTCGCCTAACAACTTGGCCGTTGACAAGGATGGCTTGGGGATCGTAATTACCAACGACCACGACGCCAAGGTCAGCACTTTCGCGGCGTTAGGAATGTTGATTGGCGAAGGAAGCCTCACCTATTGTCGATCTGACACCGGAGAGTGCCATGTCGCTGCCGACAAAGGCTTTTCTTTTGCCAATGGCATCGTCCAGGAGAACGGGCTCTACTATGTGGCTCATTCAGTGACTGGAGCCGTCACTGTTCACAAATTGGTTGGCGAGCAGCTGATTCAAGTTGACAAGATTTATACGGGATACCCGATCGATAATCTGTCCCTCGATGCAGATGGGAACCTCCTGGCTGCCGGATTTCCTGATTCCATTGCGTTTATGAAGTCTACAGAGGACCCATACGGGTTTGTTGCTCCTGTTACCGTTCTTGCGGTCAATGGAATAGCCGCTCAGTTGAGAACTCATAGCGGAAAGGATTGTATAGTCACGAAGCTCGTGGAGGACAGAGATGCCACATGGCTTCCTAGTTCGACTGTTGTGGTAAAAGATGTGGAATCGCACCGTTTGTTCCTCGGGGGAGTCTTGTCGCCATTCATCACTGTATGTCAGCAGCGTATTTAGTTCTTTGATGCGCCCTCTTTTCAGCTTTGAGATGCGAAGATCTATGTCGGTAGGGGTCACTGGGGAGGAGTGGGGGATGTGGGCTTGATCTGCGCTGTCAGTTCACGATCAAATGTACAGCAATCAAACCAAATGGCCTGATAACATTCCTTCGACGATACAAACAGTCAAATCTCCAACAAATCGAATATAAACGCTTATCTTCTGGCTTATCTGCCCAGCCATCCACGCTTATCTGTCGATGTATGCCGCCGACCTATGATATTCCCCTTCTCCGACTTTCCCCTCTTCTTGAGATCTTTTCTTTCCATTCGTGCACTCGCTTTACAGGCTTCTGTCACTGTCTCGGTGCCTTCTTACAGCAACAGAGTTCATACAAATTCCCCGAAGCCGTGTACGCAATGACCTCCAACACCCCCGACAATCAAGCGTCTGCCGCGGTAGATAAGGATGATTTGAAGATACCAGTATGCTCTGTCTCTGGTTATTCCAAGCCACGACTAATGAGATCTGCTCTAGCTGATCGACTTCGGCCCATTCTTCACGGGGACCCCATCCGATAAACATGCCGTCGCTCTCTCCATAACCGAAGCCTTCAAAACATCCGGCTTCCTTTATCTGAAGGCACATGGCATTCCGCCATCCGTGGTGTCCGGGGTGTTTGCGTCATCTGCCCGTTTCTTCGCCCGCCCCCAGAGTGAAAAGGATTCCCTGGGCTGGACGACCCCGCGGTCGAACCGTGGTTACGTCGCTATCGGGCGGGAGAAGTTAACCACCGTCGACGAGACAACTGGCGTCGACACTCTTCGTGCGTCCGCGCCGGACATCAAGGAGACTATGGAACTTGGTCGTGAGGGAGTCGAAGGCCTGCCCAATCGCTGGCCCGATCATCTCGACGACGAAGGAAAAGATTTCAAAAAAACTATGCAGTCATTCTTTGAAATGGGAAAGACCCTACATAAACATATCATGCAGGCCATTGCATTGGGAATGAATTTGCCGGAGCACTTCTTCGACGACTCTGTCAATGCCGGTGACAATAACCTCCGTCTGCTTCACTATCCTTCTGTCAGCAAAGAAGTCTTCAAAAATAACCCTAACCAAGTCCGTGCCGGCGAGCACAGCGACTATGGTTCAATCACTCTGCTTTTCCAGGATCGACACGGCGGTCTGCAAGTGCGCAGCCCCAAGGGAACCTTTGTGGATGCAACTCCCATCGCTGATGCTATTGTTGTCAATGCTGGGGATCTGCTTGCCCGATGGTCCAATGACACTATCAAGAGTACCCGTCACCGAGTAATTCAGCCACCCGTGCCCGAGGGCTCTGGGGATGATGCTTCGGACTATCCTGCTCGGTACAGCATAGCGTATTTCTGCCAGCCTAACAACGATAAACTTATTGAAGCGCTGCCGGGAACTTTTGGCGAGGAAATCCAAGTGGCCAAAAAATACTCGCCGATTACTTCAGGCGATTATCTGGTCCAGCGATTGACGGCGACTTACTAAATAGTCAAACCATGACCTTGAGATTGGCCTGCGAAGGTCATTTTCGTTTCGTGTTTTCATTTGCCTTTACTCATGAGCGTTTAAACATTCATATCTGGAAACCAAGAACTCTACATATCTCTATTTTCATTGAAGCTCAGTACAGCTGTATACCCAAACTGCACTTGGCCTGAACAAAACCTCACTTAGTACACAGCAGGGCAAACAGAAATCCGACCACCATCAGTAACTAAGATATTACCATTGATATAACCACCCGAGTTACTAGCCAGCCAAACAATCAAACCCGCAAAGTCCTCCTCACTACCACCGCGAGTGGCAGGAATCATGTCCCTCGGGAATGAGCCGTCAGAAATCGCGCGACCCTCAATACCCGCAGCCTGGAAGATATGATTGGCCATATCTGAGTAGTACAGACCTGGCGAGATGCCATTAACCCGAATACCGTAATAAGCAAACGAAGTCGAAAGCATCTTGACCAGATGGGTCGTAGCGGCCTTGGAAGAGTTATACGCGAAGCTGAACGGCACCTTGCGAATAAACCCAGCAATAGAGCTAGTGATAATAACCTGCGCAGTCGGGGCAGCAAGAACATCCTTCTGCGGCGCAGGACGGCGCTTATTGGCCGCCTCCAGCAGAGGCAAGAACGCCAGCACCGTGTAGTACGACCCGGTAACATTTACATTCATCACTTTGTTAAACTCCTCCATGGGGATATTGAAGAGTTCATCGCGTACTTGCGACAGCGGCGGGAGGGTCCCGTCTGCTGCGGGTTGCGGGGGCTTCATGAGGGGACCCATTATGCCGCTGTTGGCAATTAGGAGGTCGACGTGTGTTGTTTGGGCGGCGATGGCGTTGTAGGCTGCCTCCAGTGATTCTTTCGAGGTGATGTCGCATTGGATTGGGATGATGGTGCCGTTTATGCTTTGCGAGACGGTTTCTTGTAGCGCGTCTTCGCGTCGGCCTAGGATGAAGATCTTGGAGACTTCATTGGCGTCCAGGGCTTTAGTCATGATACGTCCGAGGCCTGTGTTTCTGTTAGCTTACATGTACACGTTTGTATCTGTGATATAATTAGGTTCTTACCACTTCCGCCGCCGGTGATCACGACCACCCGGTCCTTGACCGAGAATAGATTCGATGCTTGAAGATGGGCCATGGTGGTTAGTTGGGCAACCTGATGGTTTGGATGAAGAGAAGAGAGGATGTCTTCTATAGAAATCAAGGCCCCGCGATATCGGCATTCTGGGGTTTCTCTTTCCCCGCTTTGGATCGGCGACGCTGCCGAGAATAAATTATATCACGGAGGAACGCCGATTTCATGCAACAACGCCGACTTTCCATTCATCTCGACATATTACAAATGTGTGTGTTGGAATGAGTTTATCGAACGCTTGTGAATATTGGAGTTAGTAATATTGCATAAGTTTAGGGCAGCTCCATAGTTTCTCTTTTGAGCATGCAGGATATCCACATCTAGATTTCCCATGCACACCAAAGAATTGTGATATTTCGATGCTTTATGGATAACGGTTCTGACGCAGATAGTCAGGATCATTCCAGGTGCTAGCTCAAATATGCGATACTCGTGGTCCACTGCTCACAGCTTATAGGTCACCTTCAAAGTCTTTCTGGTGCAGGAACACGGTTAGTTAATTTGATATAAGGTCGCCTCTGATCTACACGGATAACCTCGCTGATTGCCGAATGGGAACAATATACAAGAACCCAAGCTATACGCTCCACTATTTCTAGTCTATGTTGGCCCACTTGCTGCATAACTCCATCATACTTGACACAAACATTTAGCAGCCTGGTCAAATTATTCAAAGCTTCTTAATGACTAGGAAGATCCATGCAGCTGTCTAGCCTGCATGTAATAGTAGCTGCAGCATCTGCCCAATATGGTTCTATTTGCATGATGTATTTGATTAGGGTCGCTTTGGTAACTCAGTAACCCGATGATAATATCCGTAACCCTACAGACCGATAATACCAGACCATTATCAGGGCTATTACAGAGTGCTAAGCAAAGAACACACCCAGCTATATATTGCAAGGCCCCACAGAAAGGAAATTAGGTGCGGGAACGCTTGCCGATCCACTTTCGCCCTAGAGCCTGTGACAGGTCATATGTCTGTATACTTCCTATTCGGGTGCTTCGTACTTCTAGAGTTTAATCATAGCTCGATATGATTTGCTCTTATACTCGGCTAAAGACTCCTCACTTTTAAACTTAAGCCACTTTTCGGCAATGCTCCTATCATATACGGCAAAGATTCAAGAAGCCGCATAAGCACTACAGCATAACAAGAACGAGCGGTGAATTGGAACATCCATTCATGGTATGGTTAGATATGACACCATGGATATAGCGGTAAACTCTGCATGTCCGGCCGGGATACACGGCAAATCCTCATCGTCGCATCTTCTGGACAGATATGTAAATGTGCCACAAAAGAAGCAAATCCTCCCTAGCCCCCTTCCTAACCCCCTTCCTAGTTTCTCCCTTCTCACAGCTCCCGAGATTCCCCAAAGCCAGTAAGTACCTTTCCTGGAAAATTGCAGAGTTGCCCGCTGACTATCCAGTCATGACTCAATGGATCGGATCCCTAACCAGCCAGAACGGCGATTCTCTGGCTGGTGTATTCATGATCAACGGTGAGCCATGGGTATTCGAGAAGAATGCTCGCGGCCAACCGGCGGTTCCATTTCAACGGGCCCCTGCAGTCGTCAATATTCCTTGGAAGGAGCTCGAAAGCATCCGCCAGTCCCTGCAGAGTCGTGAACCTTTTACCGCGACTATTATGGGCTCTACTATGGAGATTGTTTGGTCTAATGGTGTGAGAATTACTGCCAATGTGCCCCATTGCGATACTTATGGTTACTTTTCGGGAGAGGGTGGCTGGCGGACACAGTGAGATCTGGTACTTATAGAGTTGAGTTGATAAACTGCTCTGGCATTGTGTACTGCGACTTCCGGGCTATCTATATAGGAAAGACTGCCTCTCCATGGATTCCAGCGACAGAGCAATTCTATTTCTACCACTCTCATTGTTACATATTTATTTTGCTGATGGTTTAACTAAGAACCGTATAGCCTTTTCCCCTTGTTCCCTCAAACGCTATCCGGCATTGTCCGGTCGGATTCGATTTCCACCCCCACAGTTATCTCGAATTGTACGTTAGTCTGTTCAGGTCCATGGAATGTTGGCAGTGCGCCGATGTCGTCTGTTGCCGAGCATCCCGGGGATTGTTCTCTAAGTGGGGATTGCAGTATCTTGCAACTACTAAACTAGCCAAGTATACGAAGAACGTCCGCTCTGACGAGGATAAACACCATTCGGAATTCATCCCCGTTCAAAGCTACCCACATTTAGCTCTGAAGATGGTGTCTTCACCATTGTGTGATTTTCTAACGACCCTGACTTTGGATTGCCTTGGCTGGCGATGATATTGGCTAAAATAGCACTATATGTACTCTACGCAAGGTCCGTACCTATCCGGCTTTCCAACAATTACAACTGACCCAATGCTTTAATACCAGGGATAAAGGAGCTTCTTTTTCTGTCTTGGATTCAAGCGACTTTGACCTTCACCAGAGATGATCTGGAACAGTATCATTCTGTTGAGCCTATTGAGCTCACTGCCTTTCACGGCTGCTTCTCCAAAGAAACACCAAAATGGCGGAACTACAACCGCTGACTCGCCATTGCCGACTGCAAATGCATCGGCTTCAGCGCCGCCACTTCTAAGTTACAATAGCTCCATGCTGTATACACCGTTTACTGGAACACCGACGACCACATCTGCACTGACGGCTTCTTCAATCGGAACAAGCATCTCTCGCGGTGGGGTTGCACCCGGGGCGACATCATATCCCAGTGATGGAAATCTTTACCATGCCGAGCCTGCTCCATATGTCCCGGCTGGTGGTGTCGGGACCAACGGAAGCACGCCCGTCTACAACGCGAAAAGCGATTTCGACTACGAGTCTTTGGTATGTATCCGCACGAAATTGAGCGAAGCAATGTTCTGGTCCAGGAGCTAACCTGCAATAACCAGGCTCTGGCTCTATACCAGGAATGGATTGAGCTCGATCTCTTCCAAGAGGGACTCAGGCGTTTCGACGAGGCAGCCTTCCGAGCCGCCGGTTTGACCGCTGCGGACCGCGAGGTGATCGCATTCATGGCGCAGCAAGAGATAGGCCATGCCACTATGCTCAGCAATATCCTCGGAGCTCATGCCCCGAAGCAGTGCAACTATATCTACCCGTACACCAACGTCAAGGAGTTTATCGACTTCTGTCAGAAACTCACTCGCTGGGGGGAAGCTGGCGTATATGGGTTCTTGGCTCATCTTGACTCGCGCGAGGCGGCCACTCTCTTGACTCAGTCCATCACTACGGAAGCACGGCAGCAATTGATCTTCCGCCAGTTCGAGGGTCTCTTCCCGATGGTTGAATGGTTTGAAGTTGGCATACCGCAGTCTTGGGCTTGGACACTGCTGGCACCTTTCATCAGCTCTTGTCCTGAAAATCAGACCCGGGTGATTTGGCAAAATTTCCCAACGCTGATGGTGGTTAATCAGCCCGATCCGTGGAGTCCAGGGGCTTATCGCAACTTGCCCTCGGGTAATAACCGAACGACTGGGCATAACGCTACTGGGTACAATTTTACTTCGAGTGGCGATCAGATCTCAAGGCTCAACACGACTTCCGGGTTCAATCAGACTGCAGGGTTTATGTTCAATCAGACCACTGGAATCAACAATACTGTCGGACCAGGCGTCAGCATTCCCAAGTCAGCAAAAGGCTTCGGAAGATTCAACTCGTCTGGCTCAGCTAATGGCTGCGGCGCTGCTGTTAGTAAGGTTCGCCCAGTGCCTCTCTCGGCCCCGGGTCGGACGGTGTTATTGGAGTGGGATCTTCCTGGGAAGCAAATCGGTCCCAACAACAGCTACGTCACCACAACCCAGACGACAGCTGGTAGCGCAAAGTATGTTCTTTGGGTGTCGCAGCTGAACATTACTTATACCCCTCTGGAAATTGTCAATGGTACCAACAGCACCAACAGCACCAATAGTGCCAGCAGCTCCAATAGGACCAGCAGTACCACTGATGGCATTCGAGGATATACTACCCAGCCGAGCCTGGAAACCTACCAAGGTGACCCAGCTTTCAATGGTACCATCTTTATTGCCATTACAGACAGCAATCCGTACGTGAGTCCATTCAATCTGAGCTTGATTAACCCGCATGTGGTTGCCGGTCCAGCTCTATACCAGGCTGGTTGAATGAGTGGCCAGTCCATGTATTGAACGAGTGTGTCAAAGGGTGCAGAGAATTAATTAGCAACAATGATGAATTTAGAAAAGTTTGTTTTCATATCTATCCCAAGCCTGAGAAATATAACCTAGACCTATGAGCCAACTGGCGATCATCTTAGCTCACCTTAACCCCGATTGATGGGGCTTATCGCCGAGTCCTCAACCTCAATTTCTCCACGTCAGTGTTTGTTAACTCTTTTCCCCCCACCACTCATTGTCCCTCCATACCAGCCTGAGCAAGATGGAAACACCAAGGAATCGAAAGCAGCGTCGTGCAGCGGCTGGATCTTCTAAAAACGACGAACCCGAAATAGCGATGGCCCATCCCCATCGCAATGATCCGACCAAAAACAAACCAACAGTCGAGCGCACATTATATGACATCATCGCAGAGCGACAAGGCGCACTTCATCAAAGGGGAGGATCAATTCCAGCTTCGGTGGAAGGACAAGGCATACCGTCGCAGTCAGGGGGAACCCGATTCGTGACAGTCGACGCGTCTGGGCAATTGGTCGACACCGACGGCGACATCAGCAGCCATCTCTCATCCAATGCCTCCCAAAAGAAGACCAAGAATAGTCAACAGGGTACAAATGATAATACTGTCAAGAAATCCGACTCCGAATCGGAACCCGACAAACCTCTTCCGCCATTCCTCGACACAATCCTTCTTTCCATGCCTCTCACAACCCTCCACCTCACCCTAGGCTACCTCGCAGCCCACCAATACGCCGAAAGAATCGACCTGCCAAGTCTCTTGAAAGAATCCGTGACAACCGCCTTCCCTCTCCTCACTTTATTCGTCCACCTCGCACACGGTCATATCGTCTCCTTCACAAAGCGCAGCTCAAAGGATGCAAAGGCAGAGCCTGCTCCTATTTCTTTATTCCCATTGACAAGTGATAAATTCACATTTTCATTCTTACGAAAGCTGGTTTTCCCACCTGCTCCGCGGACTTTGGTCTTTCTTCCTCTTGCTCTGCTGCTGGGCGCGCATCTTATCGCTATCACGAATGGAGAGCCGTATTATGCGGTTATGAAGAAGGCGCCTGCTGTTGGGACTATTTGGATTTGGTGCATTCTGGAGTTGTCGGTTGGGGCAGCTGTTCTTGGGGCGCTGGCACCTTTGGTTTGGGGTGTGTGGTGGATGGGGTATGGTATTATTTGAGGCTGGGGATTAAGAGTATGGATATATTATAAATAATGGTTGTTGAGGAGGGGTCTGATTACTGATGAGAATCGGAAATGGAAATCTTAAGATAGGTTTCTTCGATCTATCTTAATTGTATAATGACAAAGCATCCATGAAGACATCCAGCATGAACCATAGCTCTTGGAGCGGTGAGAGAGATATGTAGAAGGTTAGATTCCTACAAACGATCGAGATCTAGCTAAATAGCTATGTGAAGCCTGGCAAACCAGGCAACGGCATGTGATCGGCACGTGGCCACCACAACAATATCTATACGAAAACAATCCAAGTTTATAAATCGAAATTTCGACCAGACAAGGTTTAGTGCCGGGAAGCTTAATTGTATGATCTTGCTCCTTCCTCCCCTCGACTCTTCTCTTTCTTTTCCTCATCCCGCTCGAATCTTCATTAAAACCTGGCCATATATCATCGATCAAAATGCAGACGGCCGGTCAAGTTCTTGCAAGTCCTTTGCCCCTCTTACGACAAGCCCGTGGCACGAGCCACCCGTCAGTCTCCACCGAGTGGCTACATCAAAGGTTCATCCACCAGTGGACTACATTCGACCAGGAGATACGATCAGCCCTCGCATCGCTGGACCTTAACTTCCAGATTGCCCACATCGACTCTCCTAGCGGCGAGGTATACCTGGTCGGAAATGAAATCGGCTTATCTGGTCGGTTCGTCAACAATGTCTGCGAGCCAGTTGCCAAGATTCTTGTGCGCGCCTCACAGCCGGCAATGGTGATGGGAGATATTCAAGCCTTGAAACTCCAACATCGGACGTTATCCCAGATGTATCCATAGGTGTGACTCTCAGCAACGACTCCCAAGCGCAGGTCAAGATAGTCGGCGAACTCAAGACCTACTGGACTGTCGCGCTCGATCGATTTTCTCCGTCTGACCCCGTGATTCTTCCGCAAATTTTACCCCATCTTGGTATGTGCAACTCATCCTAGCGCCATACTACTATCACTCACATATTTATAGGTCAACTCGTGGCGCAGATGAGGAAATTCGGGTTGCGCTACGGCTTTCTATCGACATACCGGGGGACAGTATTCGTCAAGCGGACAGCTGACTTCGCCTTCTGTGTCTCCCCACCGATTCGAGACCGGGATACGAATTTGTCTGTTCGGCAGTGTTTTGCGGGGTTCTGTATCCTTGCTGAACAGGGCCATGACTACATCGAGGGTTCAGACTTCAGGGCAGAGCGAGTAAGTTATATTCAAAGGGTGTTGGTATATTTCCGCTAACATGAATGTCAGCTTCGGGGTCAAGATGATCTTCAGGCTTCTCTCCGCCCTTCTGGGCTCAGAGACCATGCCATTGAGGGCAGTCTAGTGACCGGACTGAACGGGAACGTTACCCCGAATACAATCATTCTCGGCCACCAGGGAAGAGCGATTTCGATCTTAAACGTGTCCCGGAGAATTTCACCCCCTAGCCACACAGACAAGGCTCTCTTCGAGATTGAACACCAAGGAACACGCCATATCGTGAAGTGCTGGAGTCCCAGACAAGATCGGGCGTAAGTATATTTCCGATTGCTATTATCCTGGTCCTTATCTCACCATGTGTATTCGTCTAGGTCTAATGCGGAATGTGCTGTCTATGAGCGTCTGTCAGACTCACGACCTAGTGGTTACGATGTCTTCGCGAACATGATACTTGCTGGGAACATAATGTGCTCGAGTTTATTCCCTAACGGAAGGGCGCTTGTCCTCCCCTACAAGGATGGACAGATCCTCGCCCATGTCTGGGACGAACTTAGCAACCGCGAGCGAACCCACGTCCGTGAGGAATGTGAAAAGGCCATCCGCATTCTTCGGTCTCTGTCAATCTACGTGCCCGATGCTGGAAAACACAACGTTTTATATCAAAGGGAGACAGGAGCCGTGACCATGTTGGACTTCGAAACTGCTATGGAATGTCTCCAGTCAGAACATGTGCCTTATGTCGAGCTGCTGTCGCTGTTTGGGAACCCTACGATGATGCATGGACACACGACTAGTGGGTAGTCATGCCATATCATTCTGGTACCACGCTTGCTTTTACTTATGTATTATTATCTATGATTACCTCCGAACTCCTCACGTCTTTAAAGTTCGAGATAGCTTCTTGAACTGATAAATCAAAAGTTCTTGGAAATGCTAAAAGACTGCGTGGTGGCCACCAGTGCGCCATGATATGTTGCTCAACCTTGTCCGGACACTAGGGTTCCTAGAGGTCGAATCCCATTAATTTTGTCGCGAACGCTATCTTGAAACGCCCTATTCCCACTTTGGTTACACCCTCGATTATCCCTGTTCAGTTGTATTGTATCGAATCCAATGTTTCCCCCGATTATGTTGCCACTCCATTCTCGCAAGCGACCAATCCAAGCCGTCGTTTGCTGACACCTTTTAGTGTCCTGTCGCGGCCCTATCCGGGTGTCGCAACTTGACTAGTATGTCACCTGGAGATCTCTTGCGTATGGAGGGTTCTTCCACACGGAGGGTCTTCCATATGTAGTCTTCTTCCTTATGGAGCCCTCTTCCATACGGAGCCCTTTTCTGTCTGGGGAACTACTGCTTATGGAAATCATCTTTGGACACCGAGTGGTCTAGGGAGACCGAGGAGTCTGGGGGGACCAGCTAGTCTGAGTGGACCAAGTGGTCTAGAGCTTCTCCAAGGTGGAGTAAGGAGTAGTCGGGAACAAATCACACATTGGCTCCTCTGATCTATTGTTACTCCCTCGTTTTGTTTTCAAGCGGTACTTTGTGCGTGATTCCCTAGCTCGCTGTTAATCGCTCCTTGAAAAGTAATTGTATTGATTTGTTGATTTGATGATGCCCCTCTAGCACGCCGTTAGTTCCCGCAGGACTAGAGACTCCCGCAGGAGTGGCAGTATGACTATATAGAGAATTACCAGTTACAGTAACCATATTATGCGGCTTTCTGGGTCTTTATTATAAACGTGAGATCAAATAAGTCATATCTATGCTTTCAGGCAGAGCAGGGTATATAACTAGTTTATGCAACCTAATCGAGCATCAATAATTAACCTATTTAGCTCCGTCGATCCCCGCTTTAGTACCAAGGAACCTCCTTACAGGGAACCTTGGAACCGGGGTTCCAAGGTTCCACCCGTGGACGCCTGGGCCCTGCATAGTATTGGTGCGGATGCACTTCATCGTGGGATTTTCGAGATCGATCTCGGATTCGGATTCCGTTCGATCCAGCCCCACGTACTTTGTTGGACCTTGCATGTGCATAATGCGAACGCGACTGTCTCGGGCCATAAAATATATTAGGTAGTTGTTGTTTATACATCACATTTTTTCTGTGTACGGTTTTCGGATGCAAGCCGATATCAGGAACCGAGAGCTTGGCCTTGGCCTGGGACAGGGAAGTGGGGCTTGGAAGTGCGGTGTGGGAGGTACGGAGTAGTGACTCACTACAACATACATGCTGTGGCTCGGACTTTGGGGATCATCTAGGTTTTTTTCACCACTAGACATAAATTTATGTCTGAGAACTCGGGTTTTGTGTGATTTGTAAGGTTCAAATACAAATAGTTAGGTAGTACGATTTAGAGAATCCGATATCTGGGTAATGCTAAGATGAATAATTAAAGTCATTTAAAAACATCATAAGGAGGTTGAGTCTGGATCGTAAAAATCAACATGTAATAAGCACCCGAAAACAAACACAAACTAAATACACAAACCAAATATACAACGCCAGGTTCTAACCCAAACACCCTCCCTGTCTCATTCACCGCATTGCTTCACCGCTGAATGAGTGGGAACAACTTATATGCGCCATAGATAGTGCAAAATGCTATGCCCCGCTTTATTAATTCAAACCGCAACCCGCCCCTCAGGAATGAGACTAACAGGTGACATCTCTGGAGCGGGTAGTCCACGTCGAGCCGCAGTGACTGCAGCGGAGCGGTCACCATCGAATCGGGATAGCAGGGACGCCACCATCTCACGGTAGGTGTTCATCTGGGACAGCCTGAAGCGCTGGATCTTTCCACTTGCAGTGCGGGGGATCTCTTCCACGAATACAACACCTCCATCGAGGGCTTTGTATTTAGCCAGTTGCCGGCGTGCAAAGTTGTAAACTTGTTCGGCGGTTATGCGGCGCACAGATGGGTCACGAGACCGCACGATAAAGGCGCGGGGTACCTCGCCCACACCATCCTTGTTCACGCCTATCACAGCGGCATCAAGAATTCCTGGGTGTTGCAGGAGGATGCTTTCGACTTCAGCAGGGGCTACTTGCCATCTGTAAAATGATTAGTATGTGAAGTTGATGAGGGAACTGGGAATCGACGATGGACTTACCCTCGTACTTTGATAAGCTCCTTCGTCCGGCCAACAATGTAATATTGGCCCTGCTTGACGTACGCTACATCTCCCGTTCGGAACCATCCATGTGGCTCCAGTGCGTCTGTGCGACCTTTGTATCCAGTGAGCAGGCCTGGTCCGCGCACGTACAATTCACCCGAGCAGCAATCGCCTTGCACGATTTTGCCATCCTGGTCCAACAAGCGGGCTTCATATCCGGCAATACGAGTGCCGATACTTCCAGGGTCACCCTGCTGGCCCCAGCGGGTCTGGAATATCACACCGACCTCGGTCATTCCCCAGATCTGGCAAGCATATCCCATAGGGTTGATATGGCGGCGGAACTGTAGCATGGAATGGCCGTCAATAGGAGCGCCAGCAACACCAACATAGCGCAGCGACGACAGTTGGTCGCCGATGGGTACGGGCGACTGGTTGATAGAGTGAATGATAGCCGGGACAAGGTAAGTCTCAGAGATCTGGTACTTGTGGACAGCAGCCAGGAATTCATTGATCTCGAAGCGTGGCAGGACAAATAGGGGGTGTCCGTAGCGGACAGGGAAGATATGTGTCCAGAGTGCGCCAAACAAATGGAACATGGGCAGCGAGATCAGCCGGCTAACTGGGTGTGGCACTTCATAGTAAATGGAGCGGTGCTGTGAGACAAGCGCATAGTGGGACAAGATGGCTGCTTTGGGCAGTCCGCCTGTCCCGCTGGTCGGGTACATGGCTGCAGGCGTGGCTTGTGCGACGATAGGGTCGGCGAATTTCAACCAGTCGCTTTCGCCGAAGCAGAGTAAATTCGCGAAGCTGTTGTGACGCGCGTCGCCACTCATGGCGCAGAACTGTCCTGCTGGTGAATATCCTAGTTCGGACCACAGGAATAGTTGTGCGCAGTGGTCGATGGCTCGGTCATCGACGAGGCAGACCTGCGCTGGATGGATGCCACGGGCCGCGGAGACGTCGAGGATGGAGGGGAGGGCATCGCGGGTTGTGAGGATCAGTTTGGGCTCAGCGAGACTGAGGATATGATCGAGTTCTTGGGGGTGGCTCCGGGGGTTTGATCCCATATAGACACCACCGGCGCCAATGATACCGAAGAAGAGTGCGGGATACAGTATCTGCATATGACAGGCCCGAGTCAGCATTGCTTCTTTTATTTTCCGAGAATCTTCAGTCCAATATTGAACTTCCGACTTCAAGGATGTTCTTTTCTTTGTGCTTCTTTCACTTACGCTGTTTCCCAGGTGTACTAATACACAGTCCCCTGGCTGGACATTGTGGGCTTTCAACCCAGCGATCAAGGTCCGGACTAGTTGTCGGAATTGGGCCGCTGTAAATGACCGGGACGGATCCTCGGCATCAATAAACAGCGGTTGGTTCTGGTTGTATGGCTTTGGACCATCGAAAGTGAAACTCAGCAAGTCCGAGTAGACCTGGGAGGGCATATTGTTCAAAGCCATAGATGTGTAACCCATTTTGGTAGGATTAGAAGTAATATAAGAGGTGTAGTATATAATGAATCCAGATGGAAATCCCTGGGGGTTATATAGGTAAATGTATATTTTCCATTTTGCTTTCTCTTTGATTTGAATTTACCTTGACATCTCCTCTGCCCCCCGGCCTGTTCCACCTTGTTCCAGGATTTGGAATACATGGCTTATGTAATGAGGTTTAGTCTCCACTGCGTCAACTGTAAGGTGAACTCTTTACTATACGAGATAGACGTAAATCAGACCTCAAAAACAAGGAGCTGAAAAAGCTGAACCTCCAGAGCAAGGAATCAAAAGTGTAAAGCCAATCACACTATGTCATCGCAAAATCGGATCACAACACTATGGAGTACATAGGGTACGGTGTACTATATCGTGTCTCCACCAGGCGTGCTTAGCGCCATCCGGTGTGGCGGGTTCAAAATCCAATAAATAGATCGAAAATAATTAAATTTGCTTGTCACTAATTCGCTAGCCCTTGGGAGCTGAGCCACACCATCAGATCACCCTTTCGTCCGTGTCCCCATGTTGACTGACGGTTTCCCTTGCCTTGCGTGAGATATAGTTTGGAAATGTGTTCATAGAGATCGACCGGATCGTGAGATATGCTCCAAACTCTAATCCGATGAACTCACATTCCCTTCTTAGGGCCATCTAAACTGTTTCTTCAGGTCGCCCACGAGCTTAGGCAGGGGTGTGCTACATCCCGCTGTTCCGCCGGTTCGATTCCCCTTGAATATTCTTCAGGCTAATCTAACCCCTGCTGCCACATCAGAGGCGTGGTCCGTTCCCCGCTCCTGTCATTCATCGCTGACGTCCCGTGAAGGGATGCACTCTCCTTCCACTCCCACCCGTTGTTATGGGCCCAATATTGCAATGGATGCCCAAGACCTGCAGCTGATATTCAGTGGAGACCGTCGGTATATTGTTGCCTTGGCTGTGGGGTCATGGACTTTGAATCTGAGGACGGTTTCTTTCCCGGATTCCAGATCCAGATCGACTAGCGAAATATCGGCTAACGAAACCGTGCTCCACACCCATCTAGGTTATGTACTGCACCCGTGCATCGCTGCCAGTACCTCGGCGTTGGGTAAGGATCAGCATACAACTCCGCCGTGCGAGTCAGATAACGGAGGGGTGGTCATGGCACCTAGCCGAACACCCTCAGCTGCATCATGATCGACCGCGCAGACGTAGCGTTGAAAACAAAAATCGCCAAAAAAAATAAAAAGCAAAAAAAACAAAAAAACAAAAAAACATGAACTGCCTTATCATCCGACGGGTTATTGCATTAACTCATGGCACGATTCAGCCACACCTCTATAGATCCACATTAGCCTTGTTGATGCCGCGGTACAAAGGAATTGTGGCTAGTCAACGCTATCCCTATGCTGCAGATCGTCTCTTTTATTGAAGGCTTTCTTGACCGTATGATCAGGTGCACTGGCCATCATGTCCAGCGCTTGCATCCCATCAGGACTAGTGAAGTCGACCCTGGTCCGGTTGCACTTGGTCCGTGACGGTGTTTGGGCGCATCTCGCCTTGACTGGTCCTCGGTTTGGTTATTGTGGAGATATCGACTGGGAATTAGGTTGCATCGCACCTCAATGAGCGCATTATTTGATCTCCCTTTCCGGTTCATCCCCGAAAGGGAGATCCACCCCCTCTTGATGGAGGATCGGACAAGGTTCTGACAGGCTGCGTGGAGTCTTTCAGGTATTGCGTCAGACACTTTCCCGAGGTGTGTGTGAAGCTGAAAGCAAGGGAGTAGGATGGTTCTTTGATGCTGATTGGCAACAAAGACTTGCAATAGTGTGAATCCTGGACCCCGAGGTGATAGTGTCATACACCGAGAGGGGAACAACAACCGAATGGGGAAAAAATGGCCAAATAATGGGATCATATGCAATGAATGCCTCATTTTCAGAGCCAAACTCAAAAGAGAGAACGATTGATGGCCGAATAGACCCGAACAGATGCGAAAGGGTGTTACCGTTCGCGGTGATGCCTGGTGACGCCCAAAATGGAAAGACAAACTCGATTGGGAAAGAAGGACGTGAAAGTCGCCATGCAGAAGGGGTGTGAGGCTGATCTTGGTGGATATTGGTAGAGAGAGGAGAAAAAACAAAGGTCTTGGTTGAAGTGATTCACTTCAAAATGGAGGACTCGCCCTGGTTGGGTTGTCAACTATTTCTTTCAGTCTCTTTCACTTCAAGGAATCCCTGGCTTGATTAGTTCATCACAACTTCCAGTCATCTTTTGAACTTTTTATATGAGCCAGTGTGATACCTCGGGAACCCATCATAGTTATGTCAGAGAAAACCCCCATCACTATGCCTCCAAAGGTGGTCGTTGCACGACACACACCGACTGTGAGCGAGGCGACTCTCATCAATGAATACAAAATCGATGAAAAGTGCTCTTCCAAGGGAGCCGAATCCGTACACTTCGATATCGCAAAGGAGATCGATGTGGAGGCACAGACCCAGCGCAAACCCAAGTTATTTGCATCTACCCGATATGCCATCCTCACACTATACCGGCGTCTGTTCACGCTAGTGTTCTGCGCAAACGTTGCAATGTTTGTGTATATCATGAGCACTGAACAGAAACTCCTGGCCTTGGTCAATGCCACAGCCGCCAATTTGCTTGCCTGTGGCCTGGCCCGCCAGCCACTGGTGGTCAATGCTATATTCGTCATCGTATGTTCGATGCCGCGCTCAGCGCCGCTTCTCCTCCGTCGGATCGCCGCAAAAGTCTACCACTATGGCGGTGTCCATAGCGGCTGTGGAGTCGCTGCCCTCGTGTGGTACGTGGGATTCGTGGGCGTGATGTCCCACCAGTACTGGAAGCCATCAGCTGATGGTTCGGACATTGGTATTTCAGCAGCACCGGTTGCGTTAGCTTATGTCATATTGGTCCTGTTGCTGGCGATCATCGTGGTGTCCCACCCCGCATTCCGAATGAAACGGCATGATTATTTCGAACTCACTCACCGTTTTTCGGGGTGGCTGGTCGTGGCCTTGTTTGTCGCCCTGCTGATCGTCTTCTCTCGAAACGCTAGCCAGTCCACGGGCCAACCACTTGGAACATTCATCATCGAGCTGCCAGCATTCTGGTTCTTGATGCTCACTGTAGCAGCCATTATCCAGCCTTGGCTGTTCCTTCGGAAGGTCGCAGTGCGGGCCGAGCCACTCTCGACTCACGCCACCCGCTTGCATTTCGACCATGCTATTACCACCTTTGGAAAGGGCATCCAACTAGCCAAGCACCCGCTTCGGGATTGGCATGGGTTTGCCACTTTCCCAGACCCCACACCCGCAGGCGTCCACGGCAACCCAAGCTTCTCTTCGTTGGTGTCCAAAGCTGGTGATTGGACTGCAGAAACAATTCAGAACCCGCCTACTCACCTCTGGAAGCGCGGAGTGTTGATCTATGGCTTTGCATATGCCATGCGTGTTTTCCGGAGAGTGATAGTTGTCACTACCGGATCGGGCATCGGACCCTGTCTGTCATTCCTCGGTGATGACAACCGACCCGCACTGCGTGTGCTTTGGCAAACTCGTGCTCCTCAGAAGACCTACGGCGATAGGATCATGCATCTAGTCCACAAAATGGATTCAGCCCCTATCATCCTAGACACCAATAAGTGTGGCCGTATGGACATGGTTCCCATCATCCTGCAGCAGATCAAGGACTTCCAGGCTGAAGCGGTGTGCGTGATCAGTAACCCTGTGCTGACGGCGCGAATTGTCTATGAGCTTGAATGTCGAGGAACCCCGGCATTTGGCCCGATTTTTGATTCCTGATTGGTATTATGCTTGTCTGTCTTCGGACTGTACATACCTAATTTCCGTTTCTTGTTTTCTTCTCTTTGGCCCCTTTTTGTTTGTGGTGTGTGTGTTTTTGCTTCTCATCTAGGAGCTTGTATCTTTTGAGCATCTTGCGATATATCCTCTCCGGCTCGTGGCGTTTATTAGCGAGATCCTTTTTTGTTTCTTTTTTGATACTTTCGAAGGGATGTTGAATTGAAAGCTTTATTCAGGGGGACCCTGTTTGTGTACATATGTCGGCGCTTCTGGGGGAATTTGGAATCGCACGCTATGAACCTGCTGGTACCCGCTCAGCAGTTTCTCCTTAAGCAACCTATAGGAAGCAACTATGGCAAGATTTACCCCTATGAAAGAAAACACTGATGTGCGTGATAGCCGTACAATTCCAAATACATACTGACCTTCTCCACCCATAGTGGGGACATGCTGACATCAAGCAGTTAGATTTGTCTGGTTTAGTCTATTTTCGTGCTTCAAGTTGATCTAGTCTGGGTTGTATCTCATGCATATTCTCGCATAGAGACAAATCCCTCAGTATAACTGTCTTGTATTTCCACCTCTGCGGGGGTATATATTTCCGGACATACTTTATGAAGTACAAGAGGCCGGATATATATATGGAATCAAATACCCGATACCCAAACCCGCATCCAAATCCTAATTGCAATTCCAATTATCCCAAGAACTAAAAAGAAACTCAACCTCTAACGGTTACACAAAGCCACCACATGTCCGAACTATGCAAGGTCAGCACGGCCCAAACCAGCACATGCCTGGCCATATCCAGTTCCTGTAGGAAATCTAGCCAACCTAGCCAACTATGCAAATCAGCGTATCTCGAAGCTGATTGGATGGGACGCATTGCCATAAACCTTGGAAGATGATTCGCCACATAAAAAGAAAAGCTACACACTCCACGCTAAACTACTTCGGGTATGTATGTCTACCGCTGGCCGCAATTTCAACCAGCCTGTGTAAATTTACACCTATAATATGACCTATTAAGCTACAACTAGTATCAAATACCGGTCGCATTTGATTAATTAGATACTCTCTACCATCTCGAATTTCAATGATGTTTTTCAAATCAGATTATCTCTATTAGTGGTGGAGTCATTAATCATCGAAGGTTGTCTCCAAGGTTTCATAGATTGGGTCGGCTATTTTTGCCATCTAGAAAAATTATGAATGGAGAGGCGATACCTATAAAAAGAGGATGCAAAAAGACAAATGAAAAGAGTAAAACGAGGAAAAACACCGTTATTCTTATTCATCTAAATAGCTTAATGGTGATATGTCGAACACCACGGTGGAGATATCACGGGTACTCTAGTGGAATGTCACTGGTACAATATATCACCCCAGTACGCCACTTCAGCTTCTGCGTATACATTTGAATACACTTGAGTACCTAGTATACCTAGATACCTGTATGTAGATGTCCCTAGAATGAATATAGCCTCAATCAATACAGTTATAATGGAATATTCTAGCCCAAGCCCCCATAAATATCTCTTACCGAGAGGCCTAAGCCCCACCACAGACGTAGCGTAGGGATTTCCCTAAAACAGGTTTCGTAAACCCGTTTTCTTTTCTTATTCCGACAACATATGTGCCATGAGAACTTCCTAACTTCAGTCTTATGTCGAAGTGACCAGCTATAGATCAGCTGGCCCATCTGCAATGGGTCAGCCAGGAAATGATGTCGAGCAAGAGAGAATCCGGGATTTATCAAAGTTTGTGATTCCCCGCCCGATTGCGATCTCTACTAACGTTTCCTCAACCTCTATAGGTATTATTGTACTTTTGATCAGCCAGTCTCTACAAGCGCAGACCCGGATCAACATGACATCTCACAGGACTTAACATCCCCTCGCCTTTCAAATGATACCACCCTGACTGCATTGACACAACTGGGTGTCTATCGCTTTGGATGCAATCGGTCTTTTGTTTCAATCATCGACGGAGAAAATCAGCATGTCATTTCAGAGGCAACCGCGTCGATCTCTCTTCGAAACAAAAATCTTCATCGCGCGGATGATGGTATATTCCTGGGTGTCAATACACTGGACTTGCAATGGGGAGTGTGTCCCCACGCCATTCGACTTTTCACTGGACAAGATACTTCCCAGATACTAGACACGGAGAATATAACGGCCAACCAGACACGCAACATCATCCGCGATTTCACCAAGGAGGATTTCTACAAAGATCGCCCGTATGTCCTTGGCTGGCCGTTCTTTCGGTTCTACGCCGAGGTGCCATTGTACAGCCCTTCCGGGTTCGTACTAGGTTCATATTGTGTAGTGGACAACAAGCCTCGAACGAAATTTGGAGACGAGGATGTGGCTGCTCTTCGGGAGATTGCCGACTCAATCTCAAACCACCTTGAAAATGCGCGGATCGTTCAATATCATCGTCGTTCGGAGAACTTGGTCAAAGGATTGACAAACTTCGTCAAAAGTCATTCGAAATTTGACCCTACTGGCTCTTCCACTCAAGGTCAGATTGAAGCATCTGCGAAGAAACTGAATTCTGAAGATCTGGGGTCAATAACCACCCGAAGCGATGTGGGTGGAACGATCGTTTCTTTGCCTACGGAAAAGGATATTAGTGTCTATTCACCGCTTGATCAAGGTTCGTCTACCAGCCTCAATGGAAAAGAAGCGTCGATCTTTTCTCAAAATATGCCTTCCGTGTCAAACTATACACAGCCATCATCGCTTTCTCGAACCTCGGACCGAGACGAACCGCTATCATCTTCCGTGGAAGGACCCCCGGAATCATTAGCGCCAGCCAATGTGTCTATCACTGAACGCATAGCTGCGATTTTTGCCCGTGCCAGTCTCCTACTGAAAGAGTCTTTGGATCTGGACGCCGTGGTCTTTCTTGATGCCCACCGAAATGACCCGCAATTGTTAGTCACTCTTTCTTTGGGTCATTGACAGTTTCTAACTCTATTTTAGCGAATTTTCTGGACGGCATGATGATTGGGATGCCTTGCCGGAGTTTGCGACAGATGCCCCCACCGCGCCTACTAGCCCTTGGGATCTTCCTAATCCAAATCCGCCCAAAGATCCAGAAAAATATTGTGGCTCTTTGGGTCAGGCTATAAGCTGCAAACCAACTAAGAGCAACCTTGAGTCCAAACGCCCGGTCACATTGACTGAAGAGTTGCTGCATTCGTTGATTACACACTTCCCAGATGGCCACATATTCAACATAGACAGCAGGAGCAATCCGGCCAGCCCCATTGATTCTGTATGTGGAAATCCAGAGACTTCCGATCCCAATTTTGAGAACTTTGAGCAGATTTCCCATCGTCTAGCTCATCAGCTCCCTGGAGCCAAGAGTGTGCTTTTCTATCCTCTATGGGATTGGAACAAATCGCGATGGCTCGCAGGTACACTAGCATGGGTAAACGGAAGTCATCGTCCTTTAGGCATAGAAGACCTACACTACTTTAAGGCTTTTGGAGATTCTATGATCTCTGAAGTATCCCGGATACACTGGACCGCCAGTGAGAACTCGAAATTTGACTTTGTAACTTCTATTAGTCACGAGCTTCGCTCCCCACTACATGGCATCCTCGCGAGCGCAGAGTTGCTACATGATATTCCGCTTCAGACTGCGCACCGTGATATGGTTAACATGATCTCAACATCGGGACTGACCTTGCTGGACACAATAGATCACCTGTAGGTTTCACTCGCAGTCCATCGGGCGAGGCCTTTTACTGACGAATACAAGGCTGGATTACTGTAAAATCAACAACTTGGCAACCACGCAAAGTCTCAGCGTGACCAACACTGAGGATTCTGGAACAAGCTTAGTTTCCGACTTCAATCTCGGTTCCTTGGTTGAAGAAGTCGCTGTTATACTCCATACCAGCCGAAAGGCACCCGCGCCTGTGTCGTCTCTTGCGAGTGAAATAGCTACTGCTACCTCGTCCTCGCAATCCGCCTCTCATATTACTCAAGGTACCGATGAATTGTCAGTGGTAGTAAACATCGAGCAGTCCAGGTCCTGGATTATCCAATCAGTCGCTGGTGCCTGGAGGAGAATAGTCATGAACCTCCTCGGTAACGCAATGAAATGGACACAGACCGGCCTCGTCGAGGTATCATTGTCACAAACCGCAACTCAAACTCAAGCAGAACCTCACATTGTCCACCTCCGTGTCACAGACACGGGCCAAGGAATTTCACAGGACTTTCTCAGAAACTCCGCGTTCTCTCCATTCGCCCAGGAAGACGCTCTATCAGAAGGCGTCGGGCTTGGACTCAGCGTCGTGCGTAAGCTAGTGACCTTTCTGGGTGGTCACCTCAAAGTGAAGAGCGAAACCGGTGTTGGTACCCAGGTCGATGTTTACATCCCCGTACGGCGTCCGAGGAACCTTCTCCCTACCAAGCCATTCGACGATGCTTCCTCTCCGGAGGTGCAAAGACACAAGGACACTATGAAGGCATGCCTCATTGGGTTCAGTGGCTGTCCTGACTTGACGGAGGAGCCCACTGGCATTCTGAGCTCCGATGCGAAACGAAAGCTTTCTATTCAGAGTACTCTCGCCAATGTTTTGGGGGTACAACTGGGATGGCATGTCGCACTAGCAGAGTCACTCGAGAAGGGAGAGGGTGATATCGCGGTTATCGAGGAGGCAAAGTTCAACGCTAGGTTGAATGACCAATCACCCTCGACCATGAATACCGGCCATGACTTCAAATTCTTCATTGTCTTGGGCAGCACGACATCATCACTAAGCTACTCTCTTGCTCCGAATGCTATCCTGATGTCACAGCCGTACGTCCAGAAGCTACCCCCTTTTGCGGTACTGAGCTAACTTTTGATGCAGATACGGACCTCAGAAAATCTATGAAACAGCTCAAAAAATAGTGCATCTGCACAATTTACAACCTCAAATACGCGGCCCTGAACCTCCAATTACCGTTCCACCAAAAACCCATGAAATTCTTCTGTCAGAACCTACCCCGTCGACCCTACCAGAAATACCGGAAGGTCTTCCACAACAGCCTCCAGTTGAACTGGTCTGTCAGAGTAGTCCTATCGGAGGCTCTCCGATAAGATCGAACGATCAACCGAACGATATGCATGTTCTAATTGTAGATGACAATGACATCAATCTCCGGGTATGTTATCTCACTGCAAACTCGATTACGCAGAATTTACCCTTTCTTTTCTGTATATCGGTTGCCTCCATTAATTCCTTGTGTCTGACTTACAACCAGATATTGGCTACGCTCATGCGAAAACTTGGATGTAGTTACGACACAGCTTCTAATGGACTGATTGCATTGGAACTTGTTGAAAGTTCAAGTCGAAGATACGATTTGATATTGATGGGTTCGTCTACTACTCTGCTAAACACCCCTCCCTCATCCCGAAAATACTAACTGGGTGGTTGCTAATTCTAGACTTATCAATGCCTATAATGGATGGTCTGGTTTCAACCAGTAAGATCCGACAACACGAAAAAGATCACGGTCTCCAACCCTCTCGCATCATGGCTGTCACAGGAGTCGCTTCAGCTACCATGCAACAGGCGGCAGTGATCGCAGGTGTCGACGAGTACTTGATCAAACCTCTCTCTCTTCGTAAGCTGAAGAAGCTTATCGAACCCACATTATAACGGATACCCTCTCCTGTGAATATACAAATTTCACCTCCGACAATTTCCCGGAGGCTGTCTAAAGATTCGCGATCAGCGTTAGCCATGTCGTGAATCGTGATACTATAGCATACGCCCAAGAGCAAGAAAATGAACAGCTCGATTGTACCTCATCCTTGACTAACAGCACATATTCACATTCATAGTTCCCCTCATCAATACCATAAACCAAATGCCGCTGTCTAATTCCCTATTTATCTAAAACCAAAGCCCTAGAAACACTCGTATACAACACAACCCACATAACCTTATCCTTATTCGCCATGCAAGGATTCATATGACCAATCCTCTCCCTAGCCCACGCAATCCCACCTCTTAAGACTCTCAGCCAACAAATGCAGCGTCATCTGTACACCATCAAATCCACAGTCTCGGAGGTCGTCATACACACCAAGACAATCGACCAGCCACAGGCCATTCAGAATGATTACAGCTGTGCCGCTGAGAGTCGTCAGCTCGGCGCAGCTCATACGCCAGACAGGTGGGATTGTTGTGCTTATGTAGGCGCAACGCATTGCGAGACCGGCTGGTCTAGCACCGTTTGTTAGTGAGGTTTGCTTTTTTGACACACTCTCGACTAACTACTTTGGGTATGTCTACCGTTGGCCGCAATTTCCAACCAGCCTGTGAAGCTATTTAAATTAATAATGATGAATCATGCGGGGATCTATGTCGCATATAAGCCTAATTTCTTCGATTGGGTCAGACCGAGCCTCCTGTCAGAGATTCTGGTTTCTCGAGGTAATTTGTAGATGGTGTTCAATTGCGATCTACGTACAGGAAGTGCATATCCCGTATTCAAAGGCTAAAAAAGAAAAGGAAGACAGTGCGGAAACGACTAGCATTTCTTCACATCTGTCTCCTTGACGCTAAACTCCTCCCATGAAGCTCGGTCAAATCCGTTCGGACGACTAGACCGCACAAACTGATTATCCACCCCGCCAATTACTACCACTGGCTTCACAATCTCGATATCCGCACCATATGCGCGCGATGTCCATAACTCTGTCAATGGCTTGCGACCTTCCGACTCAGAACCGGCAGGCTTGTACAAGTGCGGGAATCGCTCCTGCATGCCCTTCAGCACGGTCGACGAGATGCGGTCAACACTGTCGCAGTGACGCAACTTGAAGAACTCAGGCGGTTGCACCTTACGAAGCTCCTCCTGCACATCAGCGGGGTATTGGCCCATTGCAAAGAGGAGAAGGTCGTAGTGCATGAGCGAAGCTTTGCCGTGGTAGGAGCCACCGGTCTTCGCGCGGTGATAGAGACCAGTCAGCGCGGCGATGGCGCCCATGCAGCCTGTGCCGTAGTCGGAGATGGGGTAAGGAGGTACAACGGGTGTTGAGAGGCCCATGAACTGGCCTTGGGCCCAGGCGATTCCAGTCACCTGTAGCCGAGGTCAGTTTTGATCTGGACAGTAGAGACAGTATGTGATAACTTACGCAATCTGCGATCTGCTGCCATCCAGCGCGGCCAGCCCACTCGCCCTCGTATCCGAAGCAGTTCTCATTCACGTAAACAATGCCTTTGCCGCGCTTCTTGGCCAACGCAGCCATGGCCTCTGCTCCGTAGCCAAGCTTATCTAGTGCTCCGGGACGGTAGCCGTCTACGATGACATCCACGTCATCCAGGAGCTTCTCAAACTCCTTTCGTCCAGCCTCGCTCTTCAAATCAAGATCTGCTGCAATCTTGCCCATGTTACCATCGACTTGGAAAAACGGCACATCGGAAAGGTTTGGGCTGGTTATCTTCAAAACATCGGCACCATATTCGGCTAGAATGCGGGTAATAGTCGGGCCTGCGATGATACGGCAGAGCTCCAGTACTTTGATGCCCTCGAGGATCTTCTTGCTGCCGTTGCGTCTAGCTGGGAAAGGAGTTGGAGGAAGATCACCAGGCAATTTGCTGACTTTCCATGCAGGCTCTTGGACATTAAGTTTTCCCTGTCGAATGATCAGCTTGCTTGTTGCGGTCGGATACAGCATGCAACACTTACATGGGGAGTCTTGATAAAGTCCTCATGTTTGTAAGCAGTCACACCGGCCTGGCGTTTCTCTTTGTTCATATCTTCAAGCTCCGCAGCTGTGTATTGCTGTACTTTGCTCTCGATGACCTTGATGATTTCTTCATAATCAGTCAGGTCTGGTCGTTGGCCCTCGAGCCCAATCATGTTCAAGGTGGTTGTAGCCTCCAGAGAGCCATGGATATGGAAGTATTCGCCTGGGTTCTTAGTCTTGTAAAGATTCGCCGACATACGTCGGTAGCCGTTGGATTGGGCAGCCAGCAAATCCGTGTCTGTTACAGTCAATATTGTTTTGTCATCCCATATATCAGTCTCTACAGAAATACATACTCTTCAGCTTTGTTTTCACAGCTGGGTCCAATTTTGACAGACCATCAACCTTTGCCATGTACGCTTGGCATCCAAAGGCAGTGGCAGCTTCGAGGTTGACTTGAATGCCCCGAGGTTCCTCACCAGCACCGAAGCGCAGGTCGGCAATGGCCGCAGCCACGGAACCTTCGATACCCTTCAGGGCAGCGAGAGTCTCGGTCTCTTTAAAGGGAATTGGGAAGTAGATTTCATTATGACTGGTAGAGAACGAAACGCGGTCTTTGTTCGCAAGAACCTCGGGTGGTAAGTCGAAGCGTTCCGACTGGTCACACAGCGCAGAGAAGATGCGACTGGTCTCAAGGACCGGGGAGTACGCGCTGGGTGGCATGTTGCTTCTTTCTCTCTGCGTAGATACTTGCACTTGGATGTTGGTCGAATGGAGATTCACAGCGATTTGATATCGGATGAACGCGTCGTGGTTGCCACGTGAGATTTAGGTGGAAAGCACAGATGCGCGGAAGCTTTGTGGGGAAATGAAATAAGAGCAGGCTATATAAGCTTGGGAAGGTCCATGACGACCTCTGATAATCGGGTCCCGAGAGTTTGGCCGTCGGGTGGCCACACCCGCCCCATTAGCCGTCGGCTTACATTTATATTAGGATTCAAGTACTACGACTTGCCGGCGATGATAATAGATATATGTTGCTTTTATTCCAAGTATTTCTGTCCACTGCTTGAGCTTCGGATTGTCCCAAAGACAGCAGATATAAGACACGTCGAAATGTCAAGCTATGCAACCCCGCGGGGGGGGGGGGGGGGGGGGGGGGGGGGGGGGGGGGGGGGGGGGGGGGGGGGGGGGGGGGGGGGGGGGGGGGGGGGGGGGGGGGGGGGGGGGGGGGGGC